ATGCTATGTGCCAATAATGTCCACTGGAAGAATAGAGAGCAGCTGCTATTGAATTTGTACTCGTACCTGTAGATGACTTAAGTTAATGTCTTATTCAAGAATACGCAGCCATAAATTAATGTCTTATTCAAGAATATGCATCCATACAAGCGAGTTTAGATTGTAAAGGAATTGTGACACATCGAGATTATGAATTGCTGTTTTGAGTTGTATGCTTTTGCTTGTTTGTATTCGCATCGCGGTGTACATGCAGATGCTATGTGCCAATAATGCCCAATGGAAGAATAGAGGGCAGCTGCTATTGAATTTGTACTCGTACCTGTAGATGACTTAAGTTAATGTCTTATTCAAGAATATGCAGCCATAAGTTAATGTCTTATTCAAGAATATGCAGCCATACAAGCGAGTTTAGATTGTAAAAGAACTGTGACACATAGAGATTATGAATTGCTGTTTTGATAAATGTATGCTTTTGTTGGGCCGAATGCTGTCATAGTGAAGCAGATATGGAATCGATTGACTGAAGACGGTCAAATTCACCAGCCGGCCGAAAAATTCGAGCTGTAACATTGCCACACCACCAAACGAAAGATAGACACCTTTTGGTGATGGCTAAATAGATCGTTCAATACGAACGCAAATGGTAGCTCAGAATTATAATATGCAGTAAAACTAATCTCTGTATGTACGGTTTGACGTCGTTTACAGCAGCGGAAAAATTTTGTAACTCTTGATGTTTCCGTTATATTTTACTGTACACCAATGGCGTTTGGGGCTTCGCCAAACGGTGGCCATTCATCGGTGGCTGTAATGTCTCGGATGGAGGAATGAACCTCATGACATCGTCGTTCGCCTGCATGATAGTTGCAATAACATTAAGCAGAACGGCAACAGCTGAACTGAGCCTTGCATTATATACCATTCATTTTTTGGTCGAATATCTGATACTGTGGCATGATTTGTTATTGTATTCCAATCTTGCTCACGCATATTACACATTTATGTATGTTGAACCACTGTCATTATATTAGTGAAGTGGTAGAGTGTGTTATTCTGTTGTACTTCTGGAGACTTTCTAGAACCAGTTATCAATGTAGCAGTATGCTACAGCATGTGCCAACTCAAGGTCCAATAATTCTTCAGTTGGACACTGTTTTCCATTTCTTCTCCTGCCGGTGCGTTCACTCTATCTGTTAACAATCTATTACATCTGGTCATGCTCAACAACCAGCACACTGTAGACCATGCGCGGCAGCTGACAATGCTGAAATTGCGTATACTGCCATATACCAAACATAGATTCAACCTCTCCGTCTTTTACTTCCTGGTCTTTTATTAGGAATTATTCCACCCATGGTGACTGCAAGAGATACCTTCGATCTTTCATTTTTTTAACTTCTGGAAGTAGAACAGAACTGTAATAGTAATAACTGTTGCTGTTCGTTCATTTCCCCCCTCCCTTATATCCAAGATATCAGCCCAAGAGGATGCCAAGTTTTCGATCTTTAACTGATCCCACAATCAATTTACAGGATGGCATATAAAACACAAAATAATTAATAATTGCTATATCCATGCGTATATAAATTCATATAATCATTATGAAGATAACATAATGTAATTAAAAGTTAGCTGATTAATTGCTCAATGGTCCGCTACATCCTGTTCAAATATTTTAGAGGACTGGGATAGTCAAGCTTTCAAAGTTGCAATAAGCCTAGCCACCTGATTTAAATCAATGCTTTCGCATTGTAACGTAACATAATGTGATTCTAAAATTAGAAAGATTATTCCCTGGATACTTTTTTTAATCACGTTTGTAAGTTGCATAAATAAATCCGTGTAATATTTATGAAGTTTCTGACTGAAAATTTTTTGTAGCATATGTATGCAAACATTTTATAGGTGCAATATAAATTTGACTGCAGAGAGTCAGCCGACTACGGTATCTACTTTTCATATTTGAAAACATAATTCTTCGCGTAGAATTTTTAATAAGTCATACATCAGTTATTATTTAAAAACGAAGCTAAGGAAACATCATAAAGCAAAATAATATAATTCCATATTAACTGTCAATATTGTGGTACTGTGCTATTTAAAATAATAATATACTTAAAATACTTGGATTACATTTTTAAACTAATTAATAATATAATTAGTTTTAAAACGTAGTCCGAATATTTCTGCTTGCATTTTATGAAGAGCCGAAGAAAGTGCTATTGCTGACTTCTAGATGGTTAATGGTTTTAATTTACTTTTTTTAGGATACTAATTTTATCTATTATGCCTTTATTGAAGGGAGCCTATGTTATACATTTCTAACTTGTGCATGTATAGCATTCTGAGAATTGGCATCCGACTAACTTTTCAAATGAATGAAAGGAGATAACTTTTTAACTTCCCTGCGCGTGTGGTAACTGCAACTGTGAATGAAACTACTTGACCTACTATGCCCCATTATATTTGATATGATTTCATTTCCTGCTCGTTTTAAATTGTTAGAGTGTGGTAATTTGCTGAACTGTGTATACTTCCTTTCTCTTTTATCTTATCCTCTTTTATTCTGTAATAGTTGATCTATATAACGGTAAAAAATGGAAGAATCTTTTAAACAAATTGCTTCGGTTTTAAAGGCTTACTTCTTCTTTTACTGTTGTTATTGAAAATACCATTAAGCGCATGTCAGTACTTCAGGGAAAATGGCGAAAAAAAACAGGATGTTCTATCGTAGTCCCATGTTCCCGCTTTTTTCGCACACGAGATGTTTGGTGTCTCGGATTACGCTGGCAGCTGGTTTCCATTCGCTCCCGAATGATGGGGGTTGAATTAAAAATTGCATTTCAACCCCCTACTAATTACTTTTTTTACTTTCACTGGCAGCACTTTCAGCTGTTTGCTTGCAGCGTATTGTTTTGTTTTAAATGCCTGGTTAGTTAAATACTTCATGATACATACGCAATTTCATAAATGCTAAATATCTGAGGAATTTCTGTTTTGATTAGTTTGTTTTATGTAGTTTGATTAGTTTATGCTCAATATATTTTTCCACACTGAGTTTAATATTACTAAATTTTAAACTACCAGTCCTACATTCTATAGAATTAATGTAAGGATTTATGATATTTCAACGATAACGAATGAGTTATTAATTGATTGTGTTACATAGAGAATGGAATCTTTCTTTGTAGTCTGAACCCTTTGAAAAAATTTAGTCATAGACAACCACAAAGAGCTAACAAAAATCAATCATTTATCTCAAATTATAGAAAGAAAAATAACATCTGATATTACTGGGTGATGAAACAACTTGCTGTCAAAATTTAGGTGCGGTACTTTAATTTTAATTTTTTAAAAATATTTCTAAGTTTACTCGTAATTCCTTTTTAGATATTTTTGTGGTATTAATGCATACGTTTGATTTTCTGAATATTATGCGACTATGAGAAGTAATTTCTGGAAAAATTACGAAAATATTCTCACGTAACTAAATTTCCTTATTAAATTTTCCTTGTATTATATCTAAGGATTTTATTTATATTAACAAATTTGGTCTTTTGTATACGACATTTGAAATCGTTACATCAGTATATTCGCTTGCACAGTTCTTTTTACCATCCTAAGCCAATCCATTTTTTGGATATTAATTTATTATTAATATGTTTTACATTTTTCTGTAAAACTAGCCAATTCTGAATGCTGCATTAACAAGAATTTATGGCTGTTGATTAGAATGCGACTGATTCTAGCGTTATTAGGTCCCTTAATAAGCAAGAAAGACACTATCTGGTATTAATTAATTTATTATTTTACACTTTTTTGTATTAAAAGTACTCTTCAGCTTTCGTTTTCGATCGCTTTGTTCATTACATCGCCATTAAAATAATACATCTTCTTCTAATAATAAAAAGAATTAAAACAGTAATAAACATAAATTATACTGTTGCTAAGACCAGGTTTAAAAAATTCATATTTGCCAGCCAGTTTTCCCTTGAGAAATATTACAGGGATAAATAATTCATATTTGACTAGTAAATGTAAATAACATTTTAATAGTAATAATAATAATAATAATAAAAAAATCTGAAATGTTTCAGATTTTAAATTACGTCCAAAGGGACGTTTTTTAACATTTTGTGTGTTACCTTTCTTTATTAAATATCATGTTCCTCGCACTTAAACCATAAGATCCAGTGCAACAATATCGCAAAATAGTTTTAAAACGAGCATATCTTTAAGAGACTCACGCGCTGGAGATAAAAATGTTTTTTCTGCACAACGTTGCCATTGCTCGCTTTGAAATCCTTGAGTTTGTTAATCAAAAATTCGTCAAAGTTTTAAAAAATAGGAAATCGATCATAAAACAAATTTCAAATTTCAAATTTGGTCTTCCACATGCTCATATTCGTTGGAGGATTACGTTATTCAAAATTCGATGACTCTATGTACCGTTATTTTATCACAATACGAGAAATATACATACATTTATGCAGATTTTTCATTATTTAATTTCTTCAAATATAATGCAGGACTCTTACATTTTGTGGCAACAGTTTGAAAAGTGAACCGACATTTATGAGTCCGACGCAAAATGCTAAAACGAAAGTAATAGTCCTTCGGGACTCAAATCCCTTTGGACTAATAATAATAATAATGATTTAGCAATGTCAAAAAATATACATTTTAGAATAGTTATTTAATTTCGGAGTTATAAAGTTACATTGGCTTTATATTAAAACCCCTTAGGAAAAAAGGGCAAAAAAATATGTATATTGCAACGGAATTTCTTTTAATATTTTATTATTTATATAGAATTTTATTTTCTTTGCATACTTCTATGTTTGAGAAATAATTTTAGAGTTTGAGATAAATCAAGTAAACCCTTTGTTGTGGTGTTTAGCTATGTAGCTGATCCCTCAAAGTTGTAATAGGGGAGGGGCAACGTACCCATGTGCTCCACTGAAGCTTCCAAAAGAATTGACAAGCGCGCTCCGCGGCGGTCGAACAGGGCGTTGATGTGCGAGTCGGCCGTCGCAATGTATCATTATGTTGGATTGATTATTAATCTGGCAGTGATTTTTGTTTCAAGATACATGTGAATGTGGACTGAGACAGTATAGTGATTAGTCCTGGATTATAAGATTCTCTGTTATTTATGTAAATATAACCCTGAAATCTGCTCCAGTTTAATGAGCAGAAATGGCGCCCTTTTTGCTTTGCACGCATGCGCGGAGTCTTGCGATATTGGCTGCTGTAATATTTTGCAGAACTATTGAATGGAGCTTGAAATATGTGTTGTTTATTTCTCCGTATATTTAAATTTCGTAACGTATACAACCGTCGGTAAGTACGCTCATCTGATATTTCCGATGAATGAAATAATATTTTGTGCTGAAAAGTGGTGATTGTGTAGAGCGCAAACAAGGGTTCCTTAGCCCATTATGTCCCGTTTATTGACAATAGAATTTTGACTTAACGTGTTCCCGGCAGATTACGGTATTGTTTAACAACATAGTTTATTTATTATTTAAAAAAAATTACTTGAACTTTCGTTTTCAAAAAAAGTCTCTTTGTGCATTTTCATGTATTTCTTTAATTATATCATTTCATAAAATATAATCTTAAACAGTTTTTAGACCTTCTTTTTTGATGAAGGTACTGCAAGGAGAGTTAAGTTTCAGTTTTTTTTTTATTATAGTTAAAGAATTTTACTTTTCGTTTTATCAGTTTTTGTTCTGAATCTCATTATCGTCTTTTTGTTTCCTTTAATATTAATATTACCATGATGCATAAATAACAATTTAAATAATAAATGAATTTTATAGACAGAGAACTTAATTTCTTAAATATTGTAATCAATTTAAAGTTGTTTTTAAACAATGAAAATGTGAAGCTATTTTATTCGTTTTTATTGCTATTTTTATGGTATATTTATTTTTCTTTCTTATACTGATGATGTAATATGTAAAAAATTATAAATTATACATAAAGTTTAAAAAATTTTGATGTAAAATAACAAAAAAAAAGAAAAAGAAAAAGATTCACTATACAGAGATACTATTTTTCGGAATCTAATGAGAGAAGAGACTTATACTTATTGTTAACAGACACTTGGGAAACAAAAAATATTAATTGCTTTCAAATACATGTCTCCAATTTTTCTTATTTAAATATTTTTAATGTTAATGCTAATTAAAAGTTCTTAAATAATTTAAATATTATCTGTTCATCAAAATTTAATTGAAGTTAGCTGGTTTTTCTGTCTTAATTTTGATTTTCATGGATTTGTGCTTCTGAAATAACTACTATAAAAACACTAACTAGAGAAGTATTTGTGTACTAAAAAGTCATAAATCATACAGACAAGCCTAATTTTACGTGTAGAGGGAGTAATTCCATTGAATTGGATCCAATATTGAAATTTTTTTTTCTTAAATTATTCTAAAAATCGAGTAATCTATGAATAAGTGTTGTTTGTTCTTTTTTGTTATGGTGCATACTTTCTGATGGAACTGAATGGAAGTAAAATAAATATTGATGAAAACAAAAAATAGTATTTAAGTCATGAAAGTTATATTTAATATTTAATGTGTATCAGAATAACTTATATTACTATTTTTATTACAGTGATTGGATTGCTTTTTACAACTGATCATTCTTAAAATTATTTGCCAACACATATTTTGTTTTATGAACATAAATATTTTTGAAGCAAAATGTTTTGGTTTTGTAGAGAATTTACAAATAGTACTGTGGATTAATATAAATTTCGGTTGATCATTACAATATGGTAACTGGTAGTTTGGCGACATTTTGTAGGCGATAAAGGTTTACTACCTGGGACTTTGGTAATAATGTGAGCAGTACTCAGGTTCCGATTACGCATATTTTGTGTGAGGGAAATGAGAGATCATTGATATGTCATGTGATATTAATGGCGAATTACGGTTCTTGAATCGAAAAGGGGGGAAAGGGGAAAAAATCTGGAAATTTGTATTTGGTTTATTCTGTGTGTGTGAAACAGTGTTCGTGAATTTTTGGATCCCATGGCCGTAACTAAAGAAAAGTTTATCGGACACGTAATCAGATTCTGAAGAAGCTAGGTAAGTTAGTATTTTTTATTTGAGGATATTATTTTTATGCATTGTTCTAAATGTAAGGTGGAAGTAAAGGAATTTGGTATTATTGGGAAAATTGTTATTAGCATGATGTAGTTTAAGTAATTAGGTTGTAAGGTAATTTTTATTAATTTAATGTATTGTGCTTTTATTTTAAGTAGTGTTTTGAATTTAATTTATATTTTAATTAAATGATAGTTATTTTGTGAATTTTATGTTTGTAAGAATTTGGTATACATTTCAGGTAATTTCATATATGTTCTTTTACCGGGTTTAGATTGAGAAAATTGTCACGTATTTTCGTGAAATTTTTTCTAATTTATGGAAAAAACAGTGTACATGGATGTAGTGAAGAGTGTGCGCAATACATTTTGTGCAATTCTGGTTTTTTTTAAGTAAAAAAAGTCAACGTAGTGATTTTAATTATTATAGTTATTTGTGAATTTTATGTTGTAGGAAGTGGTATACGTTAAGTTGAAGTATGCGGTGAATTCGTGGTGACGTGTATAATGTAATAGATGATTTAGAGGTAAAAGTTTTGGATTTTTATTTATATGTGGAAATGTTCATATTGGAAAGGGTAAATACTTTTTCGCGATCAGGTAATTTCATATATGTTCTTTTTACCGGGTTTAAAGATTGAGAAAATTGTCATGTATTTTCGTGAAATTTTTCTAATTTATGAAAAAAGCAGTGTACATGGATATAGTGAAGAGTGTGCGCAAGCCATTTTGTGCAATTTGGGATTTTTTATAGTAAAAAAAAAAGTCGGCGTTGTACATGGTTTTGTGTATGTGTTTTTGAAAACGCGTAAGGAGTAGGTATGTGCACTTTTTCCCAATTTTGCAGGGAATATTTTCATGATTAAGCAGTTTTTAGATAAAATTTCTAGCATAAGTGTAATCGCTAGTAGATTTGGAAGAAGTGTTCAGTATAAAAAGAAAGAAAACATGTCTTTACTTCGTGAAGACAAAAGGGCGGCGGGAAAAAAAAAAATAGAGGGTTGCTGTAGGAGAGTTGGTCGCCAAATTTTCGCCAAAAAAACGCCAAGTTACCATAATGTAAAGATCAACCTAAATTTCTTAGATAGCTAGGATTTTTACCAGAAAAGATATAATGAATGATAATATAGAATAAGTTGTTGAAGTCTGTTGTGAAAGCATGCTTTTTGTCCATGAGTATGGAAATATGCAGGATTTGAGATATCAGATAACAAAGGCAAAATGAAATTCTTCCAAGAATACATTTTTAAATAGGTAGTAGCTCTCAAGCTTCATTTTACTTGTATATTGCCTGCAAGTGAATACCATGGATAGAATGATTTAGATAATGCATGCTAAAATATTAAAATTTTGTTTATTTACTAAACAGACATTATAAATCCTGAATCTTGTATCTAAGCTATTAACTAGAGGTGTGAAAATCCACAAATATTTAAGTGTTTGGGATCTAAAATTTTTAATTGTTTTAATATCTCTGTATATCTTATTTTAGTGTATGTCTCTTTTTTTAAAGTATATGTATACTTATGAGAATTTCTTTACAGGGGTTGGATAACGTTCTAAGTGGGCCCAAAACACCTACCAGTTTTGAAAAGCTTTCCATCCCAACCCCCAGAATGGATAGCTACAGATTTTCTTTGGCCACATTAGAAGGTACTATTTTTTTGACGATTATTTGTAGCAAGATCTGACACTTGACATTTGATAAATGTATATATTTTTAAAGTGAAAAGTATTATTGATTACTTATATATGCACAGCATTGTTATATATGTGTAATAATGTCTTTTTTATTACAAGGTTCTTTAATCTGTTAGGTCAAATTAGCTTGCAAATATTCGTCTGTTTCTGCATCTTCAGAAAAAACGATTTTAATCAAAAATTAGCTGCTGCAGTTCTATAAGACTTGATGTGTCAAATTCAAACTTTCTGTCATTATACAACATTTAGATTTAGGCTAACATACTTGAGTATGCTAATTGCTGAACTGAAAATTATTTTTTAGTTTCATTTAATTTGCAGTTATATATTGAAGTTAAATTGCAGTTATGTTAATGGTTGTTTATTAGTTATTATATATATATTTATATTAAAGCAAAATTAAAATTCTGTATATTTGCATAAATTGTTTTCAGGTTAATTCTCCATAATGGATCCACATACCATTCATCTTCCATTAAATTGCTTCTAGAGGAACTGCTGTTTTATATCATTTTCCATTATTGTGATATTTCATTCATATATATTTTCTATATTTTTAATGTTCAGCATCTAGTAATGTTTGTCTCTACTGCTTTAAAATATTGGCAAGTCATTTATCAGAAAATAGCTAGAATATATAGTCTAAGAAGGTACAAATCATAAAGGAGATCTGAATACATGTCCATGGTAAAATTTTCATGAATTGTATTTATGTGAGAATAAAATTGTATTGACATGAACTGAATACTGTTAATTGCAAAATTCATCTGTGAATTATTTGGTATTTCTGTTCAAAAATGCAAACAAATTTTTTAATAAATTAATGAAGATGAAGTAATTCTGAGCTTCTAAAAAATTATGGGAAGTAGAAATAAGATCCATTGATCATTTTTGACTTGCTGTATTGAATTTAAGCAGTGAGTTAAATGACACTTCTGTATCATTTATTGTCACATTTTATGGGTTAAGTTTATAGGCCATGGAATTAAGTTCTAGTGAAATCTGCATCTTACCAAGTAATCATTACTTGAATGTGAGGAAATGTTGAATATACTCATTCAGTTTCTCATAATTATCCCAGTATGCTATTAAATTACCACCTTCAAAACTGTATTTGTTATTATGTTAAGGATTTCAAGTAAATTCAAGAATACTTTATCAATGCTCCTGGAAATCATTTCAATGGTGTGTAGTTGCTGAATAATGTATTGGCCTCTTTTGGTTTAAGTGCAGCTGGTATTTTACAGATTCAAGCTATCAGCCTCAGCTGTCAAAGTGCAAAAAATGCACTTTGGCAGTTGAGGATGATGGTTTGGGAAAACCATCAAAACTAGTCCTGTGATAATTTACAAATATAACGCTGATTTTTGTTGTTTTACTTCTAAAATAATATTTGTTTGGCATGCTATTTTAATCTAAATTATACCTCTGTTCGATAAATTTAATTAAAAAAGATAAATATATAAGAAATGAAATTTAATGTGACTTTAATGTATTTTTTTAGATAGTCAAGATATTGAACTGGATGCCATTTTGGGGGAGCTCTGTGCCTTAGAGAGCCAATTTGATCAAGAAGTCATGCACAGAGGCCATGCACGTAGTGTCAGTACTGTCATTCAAAGCAACATTACAGGCGAGAATATTCGATATTCAACTTCAGGAATACCTTTATCTCATGATTCTCAGTTATCCTCAACACATAGTGGTCACAAACGTTTTTTTACACATAGGCGCTCAAGTTCCGGGGGCAACAAATCAAAATATGATGTAAACACTGATTTGGACTGTGATGACCAAGTGAAAACACACAAAATGGAATTAGGTGTACGAACAGATAGTCCAGACAATGACTCTGCATTTTCTGATTCTGTGTCCATGCTATCATCTGAATCATCAACTTCATCTGGTGGAAGAACAGACACAGGAATTTCTAGTCAAGGCTCTTCAAAGACCAACAGTATTGCTTTGGTACCTTCTCCTACTCAAGTAAGTGAAATAAATGTTTCTAAATTTATTGGAAGAAACATTATTTATGTAAAGTTAGTTCAGATTGATAAAGGATAAAATTGAATTAATGAAAAATAATCAGGTTAGAAATAGGAACAGAGTTTGGAAAATTGGCGAAAAGGGCCTAAATTGTACTTATCTGACATTTCCACCTGTATTTTTACGATTGCGATTTGGAGCGTGAATTAACATTTTAGAGAAATATATTTTAATGATGCATTGCCAATTATGTATTTGATGGGTTAACATTTGAATTCTTTACTACTACTTAATATAAATGGCAGGTACTTGAGTTTTAGGCACAAGGCACTGCTTCCATTGAAACATTAAACATTTTGAAATTATTTCTTTTTTGCGAATGAAGAATTAAGATACTACATCAAAAAACTTTTTCCTTTTTGACATAAGAGTTCTATTATGCAGCACTAAATTTGGCAACTTATGAACATTTTGGCGATTTCGAGATCAGTTTTGTATACATAATTTTGTATTCGGTTTATATACATAATTTTGTAATTGCCCAGATATAAAGTGACATTACTTTTCCATTTTTATCGCTTGCGAGTGTTTTGATTCTAAAAAATAAACAAAATAATAAGTTCTGTAAATATAAAACACAGTGTAATATTTTAATATTTAACAAATAAGTATATTTATTATATGATAATTTAGTGGCAACGCCCTATTTGTATTGTGTGACCGTTGCCGAGCAATGTAAGAAATTGTTAAAAATTGGGGTTCTGAAAGTTTTACCAGCTGGTAGATGCATGAAAAATCTGTAAGTAAAAGATTGTATTCAAATTATCTATCTCCGTAAAGTAAAAATAAAATTTATGTTTTATTAAGATCATCTGTTATTTTGATAAATACTGCGAAATGCGTTACAACAGTTTCTGACGCGTCTGCTTTTAGTTGTTTACAGCATCAAAAACTTTTACACAAAGCCCTCTCTTCATTTTTGTTACAACCTGGAAAAGAAACTTAATTAGTCCCTTATGTCCGGAACCACCCCAGGGGATTTCCACTGCACCTTTCTTCAAGCTTCTGCTGTCCATTTTACCTCTGAACAAAACAGGAAGTTCTCATTAAGCACCTGGAAGTCCGAGGGTGTATATGTTTGAACGTCACAACTCCTACCTTAAAAGTTTATCGTGTTGATCTGCCGCTAATTTTTCGGCAGTGCGATTTCGTAGGACATAACGGCCTTCATTCAACTCATTGCGAATGACCACTGCCTTTGTCATTATTCATCCAATTGTTCCTTCTATTGCAACATTTGCTAAGGATAAACAAATTGGGGCCTCATCAAACGGTTGTTTTACCCAGACTGTCTTACCAGTCAACATCAAAGGAGTGGGATATTTCTTGCCTATTATGTCAATGCATTACCTGGTATCTCTCAAAACTGGGAGATTGAATCCATTCATTTCAGGATCAAATTTTGGCATAATTTTTTTTTAGATCATAACGGCTTTTCTTAAGCCCGTTTTCTTCATTCCCACCATTTACAGAGTCATTTCCGTTAGCGGCTAGTATTCTTAACTTCGCTAATTCAAATTCCATTTTTTCTCTCCTAATTCTATCTTGTGTCTCTTCTTCTCTCCTAATTCTATCTTGCCTCTTTTCTTCTTCTCTCATAATTCTTTCCTGCTCCTTTTTTTTTCTTCTCCCCTGATTCTATCCTGCCCCTCTGCATCTTCTCTCCTAATTCGATCTTGCCTCCCTTCTTCTTCTTTCCTAATTCTTTCCTGCTCCTTTTCTTCTCTCTCAAGCCTCGTTGAAGTGATATTTTCTAATAGGCATTTCACTAGTTCCTCCTCGTAGGATTCATTTCCCATAATCAGCTGTCTTAATCTAATGAACGTCACACTCTTTTCAAGCTACCTTGACAAAACAATTTTTTTTAAAATTTAGCTATGTATTTGGAACAATTTGAACTTTTTATCTATAAAAAGCATGTAAGTTATCCAGTTGTATGTGAGAAAAAGAGATTAGAAATAATTAAATGAATTCATACTTGACTATATGTATGTATAAAAACTTATTAGAAATAATTATATATTAATGAATTCTTAATTTTCTTGCCTGATTCATCATTGTCCTTGCCTGGCACTGCCGATTCATAAGCATGGTTGTTTTCAGAATATATTCAGATTAAATCATACTTAGAAGCATTCATAATGAAATCAGAATTTTTAAAACATTTCTAAAATTATTTTGATGAAATTTATTATGTCATACATCTATTTTCATAATTCTGTCTTTTCTATACATTCATTTCGTCATCTGTATACATCTGTTTTTTTAGATTTGGCCCTGTTATTTAACATGAGGCATTGAACTGTGATTACCTCTAGCCATCTATTGTACTTAAAAGTTTTAAATTCTCTTTGAAATATTTATTAATTGAAACAGCTAATGGTTAAGTTTCAAGAATTGCTGCCATATTCTTCATGGGATACTGCATCTCTGGTTTAATATATGTGGAATAAATATGTTATCTTTCTCAATATTTCAGTGCATTTTTCTTTAAAACTGAAATTTTCCTCCCTTTTTTTTAAAGCTTTTGGATAATATATCTAAAAGGCTACAGGCTTTAAAAGTTGAAGTAGAAAAAGAGAATTCACCACCAGTAAGTATATTTTTTATTTATCGATCAACTCTGTTATTGTAATTTATGTTATTTTAACTGCTGAATAATATTTGCAAGTGTATAAATGATACTGTGTGTGTTTTCAAGTATCTGCAAAATGTATTTTTTTGTTATTGAAAACTAAAAACATATTTTTTATATTCTTTCTTTGTTTGAATTAGAAAATTTTAGTTAATTTAATTATATTTATATTTACTGTGGGAAAATATAACTGTCACTCAAACAAGCATTCCAGTTACTTTTATTTTGCTGCTTCCCAGATCGCAGTTAATATTTAAACATGGTTATAGAGATCAGCTGAATATAGCCTTATGATCACTGCTTCATTATAAGTATTAGTGCATTAAATTTCTAAATACTAGTTGTTTAAGCAAAACTAGCTTTTGAGGCATTCTGCTTTTTTTTTTTTTTTTTTTTTATTAAGTAACTAATGCTGATCTTGTATTGTATATTTGTTGCCTTAAACATATGCTTTCATACTTCATCTGCTTGTGTCAGAATTGCTTATCACTTTTTTCTAGCTTTAATTCTCTTCTTATATTACCCCTTTTATAAGGAGTTAAATGAGTTGCAGGGAATGAATTTCATTAGGAAATTTTTTTTAATATTAACTTATAAAAACAAATTATTATCAAAGCATAAAGTTGAAAGCTAAATTGTTTTTCAGTACCATTTTTCCTTTTTGAAAGCAAATTTTCTTTTGTAAAAATACAGAACAAATATATCTGTATACTATGTTAGGATTTTATTCTGACATAAAATTCAAAATTCTGCAGTAACTTTATTTGATTCTTTACTAATCCAATGACATAAATAAGTAAGCAAATGTCACACAGACAATAATTTTGGCAAAATAAGTATAATTTACCAAATTTCAGTGAAAGAGATTGAAAAACTGAAACTCAGTTGGGAGGAAGAAGTAAAGACATGCATTCCTTTACTTGTTCAGTTAACATGTTTGCCAGTATTGTGGTTTGTTAAAATTTTTTGCGATACTTAATTTTTAATCATCAAGTCATCTAAAATATTTTATTTAATATTAAAATTAGTAATGGTAAATTTATACTTTGATTGCAGCAACTCTCTTTAATCATAATATAAAGATGAAACTTAGATTTTCAGAATACTGCCATATGTATACATACTATAAGTAAAATTTAAAAGAGAGAGAAATATAGAAGCAAGGTATGTGTTATTCTTCTCTCAAGAGATATGCAATGATCTTAGCATTTGAATTACTTTTTGAAGTGCGTGAAAAGGGCATTCTGTGAAGGTTGTTTCAGTAAATGTAATAGAGCTGAAATATATAGGTGTTGAATTTTTCCCCCCAAGATTCTCTTTGAATGTTAGAAGCAAACAATTACCACTTGCAACAAGGCCAGAACTGTAAGCATGATGTAGCATGGTTCTAATACTGTAATTCATAAGATACTGCTGAATAAAGGCAATGACAGGGACTGATATTACCATGCTGTAGCATTAGTTTTCCTATCAATTCACATAGCTTTCTGCATTACTGCAGATGCCTTGAGACTGAACTGTTATATACAGCATCGACAGTAGCTCTGCTGATAAAACTTCATGGTTATATTTTTAAAAAGACTTTATCATTCTAATTTTGTGTGGCAGGTTTTTGATGTGTGTGGTGGGGAGGGGGGACTGAAGAAGAGTAATTGTTTTTAAATATGTATATATGTAGATTTCGTAAAGATGCTAAAATGCACTTGTATGTCATCAGCTATTGTTATCGTCTTATGAAAAATTGGATTTTTTCAGCTCTGTTGTCTTTACATGTGATACTGGTGAAGCCTTGAATATTATATTGTAAGTGAACAAGGCATTCAAAACAAATGCTTAAGCAGTAAATTGTTGTGTCGAATATGAAATATTAGTTAACATGTCCATATCATCATGCAATATTTGCAGATCTTGTAGGATTTCCCAAATAATGTTAATGTCATGCTGCGAAGTGACATTTTTTAGATTACATAACACATAGAAGTGAGTTCTAGCTATTAATGTACCTTTTTGAAAACACTATTCCACCTAAAAAACTTTCAGCTCTCCAAAACACTTTTTTTAAAGCTTATTTCATTTAAATCAGCTGTTCCTAAAGTTGTTTAGTCCAAAATGATAGCAAACGTTTTTCACCATGCAGTTTATGTTTTAATTCTGAATCAGTGACTTAAATTGCTGTTTTCAAAACACTGCTGTTCATTACATAATGCCTGCCACATTTAAAAACATTGGTACTTTTCCATTGTAGCCCTACCATGCATTTTCGGTGCCACATTGATGCATTTGTCTTTTCCTGTGCCCTTCGTTTTATGAGAGGAAATGTAATGATTGGAAACTAAAATGTAATGCTTGCCATGACAAAAATCCTTCCTAAGCCCGTTTTTGGGAAGAACATGGCCTATGTTATTATTTTTTTTGCTTTTTCATAGATAAGTTTTTATCAGTTATATTAATGTTAAATTCAGTGTTATGTCCATTGAATTTAACATTAAGATCAGGTAATGGAATTGGTACTTATCATCTCTCTTATGTAATTATTCCAGTCTGCCATTGTAATGTAAGTCATTTGAAGCAAATTTTGTTTCACAAATTTCAGTAGATATTAACTCTTTACACCATAAGTAAATGAAGTGTATAGCACTAACTAAAGGAATGCCATGAACAATCTGCATTTATATTTGGACACTTTTTCACTTCTTAGTATGAGTGAAGGCATATAACCATTCTGGTTTATCATATTATAATTTTATGAGGTGGCTATTCGAACAGTCATTTTTTGTGAAGAATTTTTTATTTGAAGCTTTTTTACATATTTCAAGTTATGAAATCTCTTGCAGTGAAAAAGCAAAGATCAGACGAAAAAAATTGTCACACATTAGGGATAAAGAAATAATTGCCTGGAAGAAAGTAAACCAAATTAATTATACTTGACATCAAGGAAATATGCAAAAACTAAAAAGTGCTAAGTGATGGTTTGAACAGAAAAGTATAAAAACTTTTACCACAGATTTTTCTTTAATTCAAAATGCTAATTGCATTTTCATTTTTTACTTTAACATACTGGCGATTTGAAGAGAAAATACTTTGTGAGTTTTTATGATATGGATTTATGTGAAGATTTTAAATGGTGTTATAGATCAAAAGTAGTGATCAGAACTCTTTCTTTCTTTCTTTCTTAAAATTAATGATTGATCTAATTTTTTTTTCCTTCTGATAATTTTGAGACTATTCTTAGGCAGAAAGGTTTTATTTAAGAAATATTTTTGACATTTAAAGTCATCTCATTTTAAATGCCTGCAGCAGTTTAACTCCTTTTGCCATAATTCTGTCATTTGGTGGTGGGAATTTTTCTTCTCTTCTATTTTCTTCACCTTCTTTAGGCAGAGCAAGCTGCCCGTATTAAAGCAGAAAAGATCAGAATAGCTTTGGAGAAAATAAAGGAAGCAAGCATTAAAAAGGTAGATCCTATGGTATTACATGCATGTTGCATTCTGATCATGTGCAAGGGAGAGTGTAATAAATTTTAGAAAATTTTATCTTAATTTTATGTGCTTACATTTTTTATTTATAATTAACCTCATGTGTGATTTTTATATTTCAAAGTTCTGTATATTTTTAATTAATTCTCTTTAATTCTTCATTTAACTTCCATTTTTCATGTTATGCTTTTGCATCTTTTATAACAGCGTATTAGATTTCATTTGTATGTAAAAAATTTAAGACTGTTAAATTTTGTACAATCTATAAAGTTGTAATCTTTAAACGATTGAAGTACCTTATTATTTCAAGTCACAGCTAAGCAGAGCTCTAACATTATCTTTATGTAGTGGAAATGTTTATTATGTGAAAATAATGCTGAAGAAATAAGCTCTTGAGCATTCAGTTGAAATAGAGTGATCAGCCCCCATTGACCTACTTGGAATACTTCTTTTTTTAAAACAAAACAGCCTAATACTTTAAATATATCAAAAGGAACAGTTTTTAAGTCTAGTGTATAAGAAGGACTGTAAAGTTTAATTTCAAGAGACAGTAAGTTACAAAGTTATTTTCACATACTAGGCAACTTTGTAGTACAGTCAATTTTGCAGTGATTATAATTCATCCAGTTATCATATAACTTTAAGAATTATAGAGTTATTAAAAACAAATAGGTCTGCAGTGGGTTTTAATTTTTTAAATAGTTTAAATTATGTTTCCTGACATGTATTAGAGCATATACAAGTCAGAATTACTTGCTGAAAAAGTATAATCTGATACATTACTTGCTATTTTATTATCAAGTTTAAACTATAACTGTTTACTGAATAATTACTGTTTTATTATTCTTTGAAATTTGAAAGAAATCACAGATGAAAATAAATTTTAACAAACATGTATATACGTAAAAAAGCAAATTTAAAGTTATGAATATACATTGTTCAGGTTAAAGAAATTTTGTATTTACACTAAAAGAACATTTGTATTTATTCATCATATTCAAGTATTTTTTTTATTTCATGAAAAAGGTGACAAATCACAAATTCTTATTCATTTAAAATTTTATTTAAATTTGGGATTCAGTCTGCTGTGTTTTATGTAACATAATATTGTAAATTTAATTTAATATATAAATTAGAAAAAATCTTAATCTTTTAAACTTGTAAAAGATTACATGTAAATTGCCTGTACCTGTAAAGATTACCTGTAGAAGAACCTGTAAATTGTTTAATAGTTTTCACTTCAAAGAAATTTGTAAAAATCTGTGATTAAAAATATGATTTGTAAAAATATGATTTTCCTAGTTATAAATTATTCTCATCCCCCAAAATGCTCAAACTGTTAAGTTCTAAAATTAAATTTTTTATGCCTGCTATAATTTTAAGGCTACTTTCTGAAATTTTGTAAAATAAGTTATTATTATTTTGTATTCAAATATGATAAAGTATCATGACATTTGGATTAAAATTTATTCAAGAATGAAAGGTCTGACAATCCTTCTTTGTAATATTTCATTACAGATCTTTATCAAAGCTTTCAGCGCTGACAACAGTGCTAAGAGCTTGTTAGTTGATGAAAGAATGACTGTTGGACAAGTTTGTCGTCTGCTGGCAGATAAGAATCATGTTCCTATGGATCCAAGGTGGACGCTTTTGGAACATTTACCTGAGTTGTTTATGGGTGAGTGTTTTGTAACTGATTACTTATTTTGAGGTTTTGGACTTTTTTATTACCATTTTTATGGATGCTCTGCGCATCATACAACATTAAGTTATGGAGTTAAAATTACACTGCTGGCATCAGACTTGCCCTTCATTTAATACAAAAGATTTAGCATGTACTCTTGCAATAAGGGGGTCTCAAAAGAGCCTAATATTATTATTATTTTTCATCACTTCTTCCACATTCTGGATGTGATTGTTGCTTTCCTTGGATATGGCCATTTCTGAAGTTTGCTGTCTGGAAATGAAAGCTGATTTTCTGCATTCGTTACAACCATGCTCTTGACCTAATATCGACAACTGATCAGACAAACACTTGAAAGATGCGAGTCTGTGCATGTGCAAGTTTTGTCAAATTAAAGTGCTCGTTTCTGTAAATCTGTGCCCTACAGCATGAATTTAGCTTGAGAAATGCTTTAGTTATTGAAGGAAACATAGCTAATTCAGTGTACTGCTTGCAATAGGCCTTAATAATCACATGTAATTAGACATTCAATGGCTGAATTTTTGAAGCAAGCATATGACTACTGGCAGGATTGATCAAATAGATTTTGTATATTCATGAAACTTTTGAGCTGTGCACAACTCAAATTCAGCAGTGACAATACCTATTCTTGCATGAAGAGTCATGTCTTCCAGCACTCTCCTTGTGTGATACATGTGAGATTTTTTAAATAAGAGTCAATAATGATATGCTTGTGGTAGCAGTTTGAAAGACTACATCCTGTGCAGCTTTGCTGGAAGATCATCTTTCTTTAGCATTGAGAGGCTGCACTGCCATGGGCCATAAATATGGAAAACCGGCATTTCAGTTTTCAGCATATTTTTGTTGGGTGCAACAATGGTTCAAGGCTGACCTTTTTCCTACAGAACACTTGGTCTTATGTAAATCTTTATTATAGTAATTGAATTCGACTTTACATTGTACACTATGTTTCATTAATTTAAAATCAAGGGGAAATTTTTTAAAGAACTTATGAAATAATTGCAGTTTTTAAAAATTATATTTTTATAACTTGTTTTTTCCAGTTATCTGGTTATGTCTGTAAATTAATTAGCATTCACAACTTGGTATTATAACATATATGTTACATATAATAGGGAATTATAGAAATTTTTTTTTACAACAAAAATATCCCAAAACCATTTCCGTGCAAAATGCTGCTGAAGAATTTTTAGTCTGTAATTATATGTAATAGGGATATACAGTAGATATTGCTTAATGTGATAGTGATTATTGTTATCATTTGGATATTGTTATCGAATTGTCCATTAGTAAACGAAAACATGGAAAATATATTGCTAATTGTGATTAACAGTTTGGTTAATAATATAATCAATATATCATAAAATAAATCTCTTAAAATGAAGTCATCCCCCCCCAAAAAAAGAACCTTAGATTTTTAATAACTCTACCAATATTGAGAGCAATCAGACACAAATTGGTCTTCTGTGAGAGTAAAAAAAGTCAGCAAAATTCCATGTTAAGCTATGAATGTTTCCTCCCCCCCCATACACTTTTACACTGGCAAATTCTCTTTCCTTGAGGGATGCCTTCTGAGTATGAAAGATCAGAAATACATCATGGGTCAAGTAATTTCTAGAAACATTATGAACAATTTCATAAACAAACTTCCTAATTAAAATGTAGTGAAAGTGCATATTTTGTTTTAAAATATAGGTAAATTCTATTGATACTTTGAGGAATAGATTTTTCTTATCATTTAATGTTTTCAAAGTATCCGTGGACATATATAATCATGTGAAGCTGCATCACATAATCCATATCTTATTTGTAAATTTATATGCACTTCTTTGAGACACCTTGGATGAAATGTAGATCAATTTTTATTTTTAAAATTGATTTTGAAATTGGCATTCTTTAAGAAAGCCAAACTACTGAAATTAAAAATTACTCTTGGATTATTGCTTCATGGTATAAATTTCTTTAATTTAATTGATTATGACAAAGCACATTAGGGTTATCTGCATGGGGTGGATGCCTTCATGGAGGACTTTCTAAGGGAAACGGACTCGTATGCATTACTATGTAGGCAACCTGTATGCCTGGAATCGAACTCAAGTTGGAACAACCTGCGTTCAGCAATTGTACTGCTCGGCTGCTGGTGGTCTTTCATGTTATAAAAACATTTCTTATTTTTTAAAGAAGTTAATTGTCATCTTTAACCTTTTGAGCATCATGACTGGCTTTAAAGTCGTGAGAGTTTTTGTCACTTGGTATATATTAGCATATAATTTCAAGGTATCTTGCTTTCCTACTTCCGTTAATAATGTAAATGTCATCTTAATGATTGTAAGTTTATGAAAATAGATACTGAAATAAGTAAATATGCAAATTTAATGAGTAAAGGCTATTTAAATACAAGTCTTCATGATAAATCTAAAAATCTGCACCACTCAGAGGGTTAAATAATTCGTAAAGAAAAAGGGACTTTAGAAATGCAGTAATTTAAAGAATTTTTTAAGGTGTTGATAAATGGGTATATCTTTCTGATTTTGAAGATACAATGTAGGTTTTCTTTTATTACAGTTATTGCTGTTTTTCTGAAATTTAAATAATTTTATAATTTGTTTTGCTTTTTTCTTAATTATAATTCATTTTAAAGATACATTATACAAACTACTACGAGTAGGATTTTAAAATCATTAAAGCAATATTTATTTACTTTAGTTTCAGGGATTTTATTAATTAATTTCAGATATTCATTCATTCTGTTTGGGGATTCAATTCTGTTGTTTATCTAGCCATAGAATATAATTTTAATATTTAAATGCAAATGTGGTTAGTTGATTGATTTAACTAAAGCACAGCACTCAAGAAATTCCTTCATGGAAGACTTGGCAAATTGTTTGTATTTATGCTACAAATGAGGAAAACCATGAAAAGCCCATGCTGCCAGCCTTATTGACTGGGTTCAAATTTGAATTGAACTACAAATATTAAAAGTCTCACATGCTCAGTCACTAGTGGATGCAGTTAAAAAATTCCTGGAAATGAATCAGAATCATGTATTTATTGTATGAAATGCAGTTTCAGAAGTTCATTGAAAGACTGATAAAAATATATATATATAATTATACGTACTTTAACTATTTTAACTATATGTACCTTTTTTAAACTATACATACTGCTTTAAATTTGTATATTCATGTGTATTCCATGGCACAAAATTTCTTTAATTATGTATGAAAATGAAGGGAAAGGATTGGTAACTATATTTTTTCTTTCAGAAAGAATATATGAAGATCATGAATATGTTGTTGAAAATCTATTATTATGGGCTAGGGATTCGCCAAATAAATTACAATTTTTAGAGAAGGATGAGAAATACAATTTATTTATTAATCCTGAGGTGAGTAAGGAACTCATGTAATTATATTTGTTTGCTATTCCTCAATTATGTTGTTTAAAATTTATTTAAGAAATTAAAAATATTATGAAATTACACTTCACCCTCCTTCATTTTAAGGAATATTTACTGTTGGGTAGTTCTTCAGAAAAAGGTTCAGAACTTGATGATGATGCAAAAAGTTCTTTATTAGAGGTTAGTTTTATTCTTTTTTCTTCTTCAATGCATGTATAAATATAACACACACACAGCTGACATTCCAACCACATAGAGGTTCAGGCTACTGGCATATTACTGAGTTAGAAATCTTGACATAATTTTTACCTCTTGCAGAACTTGCTATTAATAGTCAGTTGACCAAAAGGTATTTACAGTAACATAAACAGTAGATTAATAGAAACAGTGAGCCATTTCTAAGAAGACCATCTATAGATCAGTGGTTCCTCACAAGGTTGGTATTACCTACCTGAAGGGGGGGATTTTTATGCAATCAAATTTAGGAGAATGTTGAGGACCACCTGACCCCTCCCAGGGGCAGTACTTGCAAAAATGCAATGAAAAGTTTGATTAATACTAAAATCATCAAATATGTGTTTAATCAAATAGCTCTACACATCTTTGTTAACCTGCATGCTTAAAATGCCGAAATGCCTGAAATCCACAGCAGTTACCCCACCTCCCACCTCTATTAACAAACAAAGCAGTTTGAAAGTTTTATATGGTATTGTTTCTAGTTGCAATCTATTGCATATTAAAGGGAGAGAGTAAAAATATACCACCGTAATTTCGCCCAATAGGGCCGCTGTATCGTAGTACTTAGTTCCTAATACCCTTTTGACTGGTACAAAAGTGAGTTACAAGTTTGTGCAGGTCAATAGAATCAGTAGTTAGATACAGTGATTTTAGGATTTTAGGTTGCTGATGACAATTATGATCAAATATATATATATAAATGTCTTACTCCAAGCTCAGCCTTCTCCATCGTTATTATTATGGCCTCCGCCCAAAATTTTAAATATTTAATTTGCTCAAGCCAGGTTAAAGGTTGGTCATCACTGCTCTAATTGGTTTTGTTCATTTCTGGAGATGATTGTCTTAGAGATTTATATTCAGTATCAGTGTTCTTAGAAGCATTGGCCTATATCTAGAGTCCCCCCCCCATATTTTAAAAAATTCATAGACACGGATTATGTAAAGTATTGCTTGAAGTAATCAGATCAATTTAAGTGGAATAAATAAATAATCTTTCACTTAAAATTATTTAAGTAGAAACTATATTTAATTTTTTGTATGTGTTTGCCTTTAGGGTTTGAATTTATTATATGTTGTATAAAATATAAGTAAGGATTAAAAATTTTGGAAGCTATAATCGCTAAAAACGTTTTGGTCCCCCTACATACATTTGCACCAGTTTTTTCCTCTATTTTTATGACTTGGTGTTAATTTTGCTGTGCAGTATATTCGACGGTAATATTATTAGTGGAAAATTTTGCGATGCCTACTTTCCACAAAATAAGCACCTTTTTTGTTATCATCTCTTTCATTGATGCCCTAATCCATATGCTTATTTTGCTTAATGAATTTTCCAGCTCTGAATATAAACTAAAAAATCTAAATAATTCTTATTGGTTTTATTACAAATCTAAACTAACTAAATCAGAGAACCAAATTAACACAATCAATTTAATAACAAGGTGTATGAATACAATATATAATTAAAAAATTCATTTTCATTCCACCGAGTTTACTAAAAGATATCTCTAGCCTGCGAGAGAGCCCGTCATCCAATTAAAAAAAAAGTCTAAAATATCGTTTTCTATATTTAATTTTATATTTCTAGAACTTATAAGTAAATTCAAATTATTGCAAATAAATAGTGTGTGTTTTCTGCGATTTTGGTATTAAATATGTTTGGTTCGAGAAAAACATTCTTATTTAATGTTCTTTTAGGAATTCTTTTCCTCATCAAGTGTTCCTGAAGTCGAAAGTGCATTATATTTAAAAAGTGATGGCAAGAAAGCATGGAAAAAGCATTTTTTTGTTCTGAGAGCTTCTGGTATTTATTATTGTCCAAAAGGAAAATCAAAGGTAAATATTTAAAATTTGTATCCGTAGTAAATATTTTAGTTTATTCCATAGCAAAGTTTGCTTATTGATTGCAAACTGTTTTTTTATGTTCATTTTTATAAAGAAATGTTTTCTTCCTGAATTTTATTTACCATATTTCTTTGTGTATTTTTCCTTTTTTTAACTAATTTTATCATTCAAAAAACCAAGAGAAGAAAATTATGCAAATAATGTAATTTCCAAAGGGCATGGTTAGAATACAAGCATAGCTGTCATGGATAAATCACCCGTAATTATTATAATATTTTTTCTTTAAAAGAAACCTGCATTCCAATAAAAATCTATAGTGATATTAACATTGCAGTATTTGATTAGATGTCACCATGACATGCCTGTAACTTGAATCATACCATCTTACCTGTTGTTTTTATTGTCAGTGAAATTTCTTAGGCCTGGAATCATTCATAAATAATTAGGGAATCTGAATGTGTAGCTGATTCAGCGAAATCGTTGACTGAATGTCAGTTTGTATTTGCTTTACTATGGGCAGTTCTCATATTATTAGTCTAGCATAAAGTTTAACAGTTAGAAGGGAAAGATTTGTCGTGACTTTTGCAGGTAGGTAGTAAGAATGATCAGTATGTAGATGATTTCATTTAAAAATTCAGTGGTGCATGCTCTTTGAATGCATTGATGAAGGGGAAAATTACGTCAATCTTTTTTAAAACTTTCAAAACCTGTTGTTAAAAACTAGAGGGGAAAATACACACAGATATTGGTATTTATTTCTTTATAACAAATTTATTTATTTTTAACAAAAGTGTAAATGTGTATATTGTTTGATTTGTAGCTGTCGAAGGATTTAATATGTTTAACAACATTTGAAATGAACAATGTTTATACTGGATTTGGTTGGAAAAAAAAGTACAAAGCTCCTACTGACTTTGGGTTTGCAATTAAGGTAAACTTGTTTTAATTTTTCTTAAGAAATGCTATTTATTTCTGTGTTGTTTTTAATAAGTGTAAGATATTCTGTAAAGAATATGCCTTACTTCATCATTTGGATATAAAATAATTATTTCTGCATTTAGTGAAGAAGATTTTTCTGAAATTTATATTATATTCAGTAAATTATTTCGGAATTTGATTTAATCTTAAGTTGTCATGTGTAATGCTATTTGACTTTCTCACAGTCTACTTGCAATTAGAATTTAGGCCCAGAAATGTCATAAATTACCCAGAATTTAGGCCAGGAAAGTTTGCTAATATGAAAAGTACAAACATTGATGACAAATGCTTATACATAAAATTTCTGAATAATTAGAAATACCAGTGTCATTTATTTGATGTTTTAGAACTCGCACATAGACTTATATCGTCATGCCAGTACTTTATTTGGTAGCAATAAAAATTATTATCTTTCTTTGAATTGTAAATTTTATTCTAGTACTATTTTCGTTGTTAATGCTATGTGCTTTTCTAGTGGTACTTCTTATTGTAAATTGTATGCCTGGTTGATTGGTATACTTGTACAGTTATTGGAATACAAATTTCCGATGAAGAAAAATGAATAATCATTTAATTTTAAAAAAAAAAAATTTTAATTTTTCTCAGTATTATGCAGTGGTTGTTTATACTGTTTTGATTGAATTTCATTTCTTGTTCTACTTTGCTTTATTTGGATATAATTTTTTAAATTTTCTAATGATTTTTATTTATTGCACTTAAATAAACATACATTAAAAAGTTCTAATATTTTGTAAATATAAAACAGTAGGATAAAACAAAATACAAGTATAATAAATTTATATTTCATATGTATTTATGGATATAGCAAAAAAGTTGCAGCGTTTTATAACTAGTTTTTGTAAAACTTCATTTGAAGTGCATGATCATCAAGACAGGAGGATAATTCTGGAGAATAATGAATAATTTCTGGCGTGCACAAGGATTATAACGAATGGTTTTTATTTTTAAATTTTTTTTAACACTGTATGAAATTTTTTCAGTAGTTCATAGAAATATATATTTGTTTAGCATTTCACTCCACACACGATGTCGGCTCAGCAAGAAAATTTTCAAAAATCTGAAAAAAAAAAAAAAAAAAGCTGCTAAACAGCAACATTACATTATATTCGAAAACTTTTCAAATATTATTTTACAGAACAGTGCAACCTATTTATATAACATGTTATAGAACTTTTTAAGCATTTGTGATTTCAAATGAAAAAAAAATGTGATGTGTGATTATATGCAAGTCTTTCCAAACTTTTGTTCAGCTTGCTTTTTTCACCTTATTAATAAATACAATATATATGCTATGCATAGGATATACATTTCAAGAAAATATTTTGAAATGTTATTATTATTTATTTACTTCTTTGCATTAATGATAACATATTTGGATTGCTGTTTTTTGTTTATTATTTTTAAGGTATCATATTTCTCAAACAAGTAATAATGGAGAGTAAAACAGGAAACTTGCAAATATTTTTTCTTTATAACATAATTTTAAAAAATTATAGCTTGTATTAATGTGTGCTGTTGAGGATAATGGTAATAGCAATAATGATATAATGGCTTATGTAATCATGTTAATGCTAATTATAATAATCTTTTAAGATAAATTAGTGCATTATTTCTTTTAATCCAAAGAAAAGGCATAAAAACAAATTCATATCAGTTTATGTGGTATGTTAAATGTGTATTATATATTAACCTGTTCCTGTCCAGAAGTTTTCAAAGAGCTTAAAAGTCGGTATGCAGAAATTGCTTTGCCACTTTCTTAGAATTTTTTCTGGATTATTTTGCCCTTTTTTGGCTAGCTATTAGTGATGGTAATCATACTAAGAGCCTTGCAAAGCTTCAGAAAGGGTAGCAAAACCTAAGTGGTCGAAACTTTCGCTAGCCTGATTTTTCTGAGGCGCTGCATGTTAAGCCTTTCTCTAAAATAAGTTAATGATTCTAACTTCAATAACTAAGGCATTAGTAATTCATGGATTACCTCTATTCCAGAATTCATAATTTTATGCAATATAAAGTCCTGTCGTTTGCAGAGTAATTTTTTTTTTTTTTTTGTTTATTTGTTCATGTGTTTGGTAACAAAGTTCCAAGCATTAGGTGTATTTTGCTTCCTGATTTTTATTAATTTTCTCTCTTTTTTTTCTTTTTTGTTTTTGTTTTGTTTTGTTTATCATTGTGTGTGTTTCAGAATTTTATATTCTGAGCACTGAAATTTACGGGTATGTGTATAAAGCTTAATATTCTTTCAATCTTTAACCTTTTCACAACTGCTAACTTTTCTTTAACACACTCGAAGGGAATCGAAGGCAGTCACCATACGGGATGGAGATTTTGCATCGCTAAGCCTAATTTAAAAAAATATCGGGGAAAAAAAAAAAAGTTCAGTTCTAGCATCGTAATTTTTGGTATCATTTTAGATTATTACTTGAACTTTTATATATGTTAAAATTAGCACTTAATAATTTTTTTTCTTTATTTTACATGAAAATATACTTAAAAAATTGCTTATCTTGTAAAATAATATTCGTAAGCGCTATTCAAATTATTCTAAAGTTTTAATTGATAAAATCCATCAATAAAGTTTAAAATTAATAAAACAACGCAATAAAGACTATTTACAATAAGAAGTAACAAAATTTACAGTGAAGACTGAGTATTGTAAATTTCGAAGAATGGAGAAATATCACTTTCTAACTCTTAGAAAAAGTATCACAACTCTTTAGAAAATGAATCATCACTCTCATATGCGTTAGTAGTAAATGGTTCGTTAACCATACGAGGGTAGTCTTCTTTTGATAAATAATGCCTTCCCACCATAATAGACTGGAGGTGAAACTTTCCAAAATAAAAAGAGAAGAAACGGAAGTATATCGGAAAACAATGCAAAACGTAACAGAGCTCCACATAGTAAACCTAAAAGACCTAAAAGACCATAGATTCTACATTCCATAGTAGAGAGGAAAAATAAAATAAAAAAAGGAATTGGATATAAATCAGACATGCGAATGTTTATATTAGCACACCACGATTTAAAGAGCCCACCTCTGTTTACGCTGGAAACTCCCCCCCTTCGTATCAGTTGATGAGTAAAATACCATCAGAAGAATATATCAAACTCAAGGTCAGGAACCTAAAACTGCATTCATTTCAAAAGTAATGGACATAGAATGCCATCTAGTGGCCTTCAGAAAAATGTTCGAGCTTAAAATGCGTATACGCATCACCCGTTCTCTGAATGCAATCTCTAGTGATGTGTGGGAGATGCCCGGTTGTGAGCAACATTCTTAGAGAATGCATATATGGGACACCCGTCCTGAAAGGGTTAATGGGAAAAGCTTCTACTACAGGTCTGAAATTTGGAATAGTTGGACTTCAGCGATTACTGATATCAGAAATTTCTGGATTTTAGATCATCAATTTAAATCTAATAGATTACATTTAGAAATTATAAATTTAAAAATATGAGATAATTTTTATAAAATAATGAAACATTTGTTATCTAGCTTTGGAATTACAATTTATGAAAAAGCTGAATATTTGTTTTGTTCAACATTTCTTCAGTATAAATTGTTTAAGTTCTTTCGCTTTTTGTGCTAATACTTCTCTTTTCATTTTATATGTAGGAGTAGTTTCTTGTTCAGTTACAAAGTTCCATTGTTCAAGTCCTGTAGTTGCTGTCTTCAGATATGGTCCTAAACTGGCACTTATAATCTTTTAATTCTCAACAACTACTTTACATATAACAGATTTTGCAATCCATTAGTTGACTGATGATGCTGGCATTTTTCTTGCAATGAAAAACTCCTGTTATGTTATTTTCATTTATAATTTCTTCTCCAGATTTTTTGAAAAATACCATTAATTGGATATTTTTTCATTTCGCTTAAGACCTTTCAATCATCATCATCGCCACCACGAAATATGGCAACAGGTCATAAATTATGCTGAGCACTTTTTTATATATTTGCAGACATATCATCCCATTACCTTGCATTGAACTATAGCAGCATGTTTTATGTTAAAACAATTAGAAAATTCTTGAATTTTTTTGCCACTGTACAGAAAATTTAATGTAGATTTTAAAAAGGCAACTTCATATCTGCATTGTGTTTCAGCGCACATGCAGCACTCTGATATCCATTGGCTGAATAATGAATGTACTAGTTGGAGGGAAGAATAAATGCAAACATTATCTTTTATTAAAACTTTAAATGAAGTATAAGCTGAACAGTTGTTTGTAATTGGGACAGTTTTACCATTCTCTGGTAAAGCAACTAATTTCAAATGTTTGCTAAGCCTCAGCTTTGAAATGATTTTCAAACCAATCATTCATTAATGTTTGTGTCAGTCATGCTTTTTAATTTGAATGATAGATGGCAGGGGTAATAATTACTTTTTTAAATGCCTGTGGTAAATATTCTTTCCAGTTACAAAAAGGTTACATATGTATGTTCCTGCAGTATTTGCATATGTCAAAATCATTAGCCTTGTTTTGGAATCTTTGACAGCAGTTGGGATCTTTTCTGCAGATGTCAAGATATTTCAGGGCAAATATTGCCAGAAATGCCAGTTTAATCAGCCAGTTAAATTATAAATTTGTTTTGAAAATAAGCATTTTGATATTAGAGTTCGATAAATTCATCTGCAAATTAATCAGGTGCTTCTGTGCCATCTGAAGCTTTTTTGCTTGGAATTTCTAACTTCTTTATACTATACTATAAAATTTGCACATTTAGTGCAATTGGGGTATCAGAATCTATAAAAATTTAAAGTTATTTTTCTGTTTTTATGTTGCATATTGTTGACTTTCAATGCCATATGCCTTGCATTATTTTGAGATGGATATATACCCTAACCCCCTTTTTTGTTTTTTGGTAGCAATTTTATTTTTTGCTTGTCTGACATTGAAACATACTTTTGGTTTGCAGATCCTGCTACAGCTTCCGATTTAGAAACTTTTTGTTTTTAATAATAGTAGCCCACAAAGAATAATAAGTTGGATCAAATTAGAAAATTAAGAAAGAGTGCAATTTACAATGTTAACTGATTTTATGTTATTTGGAATCCTTTTTCCTTTTATCTGCTATGCTAAGAAATGAAAACTAGTATGAGCAACATGCTGTTCCAAATAAATATGCGTTGAAGTGCACTTTTTCCTTAGGACAAACAGAAATATGCTAACCCCTATATATATATATATAACAAGTACAAGGAATTCCTATGAGGGGAAATTACTCGACTGTAATCTGTAGACTCTTCCTTTCCACTCAAGAATTTACATTTATATGTCCACTTAATGATGAAGAACACAAGTATTACAAGCACGTCTTTCGATATATTGATGACGTTATTGAATTTAACAACTTCAACAAACTTGAAAGTGCAAATATTTATCCCACATGCCTTAAGCTTAATACTACCAACGCAATACAAGATGATATAGTATACCTAGATCTTCAAATTCTAAATTACAGTCTTATTAAAAATTTTGACAAACACAGATATTTCAATTTTCATACACTCAAACTCACTTACTGGAATTCTAATATTTCTAAAAGAGTCATTATTAATACTATTAATTCACAACTTCTTAGAATTAAAAGAATCTGTAATAACACAGACCTTCTCCAAGAAATACTTTACTTTGTTAAAATCTTACAAAGCAATCTTATTCCAAAAAATTCCTTTTTAAATCTTACAAAGCAATCTTATTCCAAAAAATTCCTTAAAAAAAAGCTGGCATTTACATTTTATTTTAGATTATTTGGTTTGGAGATATGAAATTTTTTACCCAAATTTGATAGGAAGGTAGATGATGTATGGCTAAATCAAATGATCTAATGTAAAAATGTAACATAGTTTCTTAATACTGCATCACTTTTTCTCTCTCTCTTGAATTGGCACAGAACTTCAGTTAATTTATTAAATTTATTATTTAATATCACTATTTTCTGGCCAACCATAGCCTTTCTTTAATTTTAAGGGCCAATTTCATTTCGAACTCGCTTATCAGCCCTCTAGCACTCTATTTTAAAAGTATTAGTATTCTAATATTTAGTGTGTAAGCTCATTTCTTTTAAAAGTCTGACAATATATTAAAAAATATATTAAAAATATCTATATATCTCTTTAGAATTTCTGATAGACAGTCTCAGAGATAAAAATGTTTTTTTTTTTTTTCAATCCAGTGTTGCCACTACTCATTTTTGATTGTAATATATATCTCTATATTTTATTGGAGAATTCTGTGTAACCTGTATAATGTTAATTAACTTTATGCGTAATGTTTTTAAGCAGCATTTCTGAGTCTGTAAATTAAACGGTACTTGTTTAATATAGGTTAACAGCTTTTAATGTTCTTATGCATTTAATTGTGTGTGACTTATATAATAAACAACTTATATAATCATTTTCATTTTTAATAGCACCCTCAGATTCAAACAAAATCATCAAAATACATAAAATATCTTTGTGCTGAAGATGAGCAGATTTTACACCAGTGGGTTATGGGTATTCGCATTGCAAAGGTAATTATTTTAATTCTTACTTTCATTTCAAGTATTTAAATTTGTTGCTCTTGGTATTATCAATAGAAAACTATTAATGTTGCATTTTTGTTTTAAAAGTTATTTTAAAAACTCCGTAGTTATGTATATGTTACCGTGAAAGACTGAAATTGGAGAATGTCGACTTTCACCGGAGAATCTCAACATTCACCAAATACGTCGGTGAAAGATCGAATATTTCTTTACATTCTTGTACATTCGGAACCTCACCGGTGTATGTTGACAATCACAGATATGTTCTGGTGTAGGTCGAAAAGAGAGGAGTATATGTACACGCTACTGTTCCAAAAGGAAGTATTCCAAAATAAATGCAGTTGTAAAAGCAAGGGCCTTGTGCAGTTCAAAGTGTCATAATAGTTTAAGTTGTTGCAATAAATAATATTTGAATCACATAATTTGGTAAGTTTATAACTTCTATTGTTTTCCTTTCTCATTTTGAATGTACTGTGTGTTTTAAGTTCTTATATTCTTAAGTTCTTATTCTGAGTCTCAAGTGCGTTTTTTCGCGAATGAATTACGGAGAAGGAAATATAATATTCTTATATGTTCAGCATTCACCATTAGTACATGGTGAATGTCGACATTCACCCGTGTAAGTCAGAAAGAAGAGTATTTGGAAAATATTTCGGACATACACCAAGCGACTATGTGAATGTTGACATTCTCCAGATTTCGGTGTTTCACCGTAACATATACATTAGACAAAAGCTGCACATTAATGAAATTTGTTGTTATCTACTAAACTTTCTTTTTGTGGTTTATACAGTGCATACCTGCCAACTTTTACGAATTTTTCGTAATTTTTACGAAAATGCGTTTGTCTTTACGATTTTACGATCATAATCCATTTTTTACGATTTTTTTCCTTTTTCAAGTGTTTTTTAGTGATTTTTTGTCGAAATTTTAGAATTTTTCGCCAATCCAATTCAGTGGTTTTAAAGTTTTACTGCCAACTACCGACTGCTTTGAATCCAGTAACCTGCAGTTTCTCCCAACTCACCGCTTAACCAGCCAATCCAATGCGCTGAACTTGTTTCTCCGACTCTTCTTTCTGGGCGGCAGATTATTTTTTTCGCATCCGCTTCACGGATTTTCTTAATACGTCGTTGTTACGAAATGAGTTCAAAAAAACCTTATTCTCAATATTTTCGGTCTGCCTACAAAGCCGAATTTCCAACAATTAAAGAATTCTGCAAAGGAAATAACTATGCATTTTGCAACGTGCGTGTGTGACTTCATAATAAGTCACGGTGGAAAAAGTGACAGTGTGAAGCATGTTAAGTCTTAAAAAGCATGAAGTTAATGCTTCGGCTTCGACAACGTCAAAGAAAGTGGATGATTTTTTTTCAAATTCGGCTACGAATTCGGATGCCGATGTCATTTTGGCAGAGTGTTTGTTTACTGCATTCCTCATCGAACACAACGTGCCGCTAAGCGCTGCCGATCACGCCGGTCAACTTTTCAGACGGATGTTTCCCGACTCCAAGATTGCTCAGAAATATGCTTGTGCTCGCACGAAAACATCTTCTATTGTGAACGAAGCTGCTTGCGATGCACAAAGTAAAACGATAGCTGCACTCCAGAATTCAGCATTTTCAGTGTCAATCGATGGCAGCAACGACAGCGATTGGAAGCTTTACCCCATCATTGTCACATATTTCTGTGATGTTTCTAATGAAATGAAAACTCATCTTTTGTGTCTTCCATTGTTAAATGAAGACGCTACGGGGGAAAATATTGCCTCCTTGGTAATTAATGAGTTGAAACAACTTAACATCCCAATATCAAACTGCATTTCATTTGGTGCAGATAATGCTCATGTCATGGTGGGTGACAAAAAGGGTGTAGCCTCTTTCCTCAAAAAAGAATAAAATGAATTAATTGTTATTGGATGCCCATGCCACTTAATTAATTTGGCAGCAGAAAAAGCTGCAGCTGTAATTCCACACAGTAATGCTGAGTGCGAGAGAGTCTTCAGAGTTGTGAAGAAAAAAACAAAACTATGTTTCGTTCTTCAATTTCACCAAAAACTCTAAAAACATTTTAATTGCTAAATGTTATGAGGAAACTAATTGTTATGACAGGAAATTTTCCAAAGAATTTTTGGCTAAAGCCAAAAAATGCACTCTAAATTCATTGCAATAATTTTTTTTTTGTGTAACATTAAGTTCTTGTTTTATGTTTCCTAATAAATTTTTTAGTTACTACTTAATTGAGATTTACTAATGCAAGTACAATTTTCTTGTTTCTATTTGTATAAATTGTTATTTTTTTAATATCAAAGCATGATATTAATTCTTCGTGTTCTTCTGAATTTTGGAAAAATCTTCTGAATTTGGGGGAGAAATCTTCTGAATTTTTATTTTTAGAGGTTGGCAGGTATGACAGTGTTGTGATGATGCATATGGAATACCCTATTCAAAAAATTTTCAGAATTATTATATTATATTAAGTAAACAGAAGAGAGTTTAAGCCACTTGCAATTTTAATAATGGGCATACATTAGCATACATTTTTCTGTCCTTTCTCAGTTTAAAATTTTTTTGTCTTTTTATTATTAAGGTTTTCTGTGTTCACTTTATTAAATATCACCTTCTTGGCACTTACCTCACATAAAATTTGATTCAACAGCAAAATCACAATATATTAAAAATATCTATATATCTCTTTAGAATTTCTGATAGACAGTCTCAGAGATAAAAATGTTTTTTTTTTTTTTCAATCCAGTGTTGCCACTACTCATTTTGGAATTGTTGAGTTTATTAATCAAAAATTTGTTAAGTTTTATAAAATATGAAATAGATAACAAACAAATTCAAAATCCAGACTTCCAGATGCCCATGTTTGGATGGAGGACTATATTATTCAAATTTGATAGCTCTAGATACCATTGTTTTTTCACAATGTGAGAATCATGCATACTTTCATGCAGATTCTTCATTATTTAATTTCTTTAATTATTATTATTTAATTTCTTCAATTATTTAATTTCTTCATTATTTAATTTCTTTAATTTAATTTCAGGGCAATAATATTTGTGGGAACAATTTGAAAAGTGATACACCGTTTATGGTGATTCAACGCAAAATGCCAATTTAAGACTTAATATCCCATGCGAAACTGATATCGCTATTGGACTTGAGGAAAGGCAACTTTTGGTAGCATAGACTTAAATAAATTTTTATCTATTTCAAAGGCAGTCTGACATATAAATGTCAAAAAAAGACTGGGGGTGGGTATCCATAAAGCAATCATAATTTTTCTGGAAAGTGTAGTAAATCTCACTCAGCAAAATATCTAAGAGAGAATTGAGTTCTTTAATTTCCATAAGTGTTTTGGTGATTAGTCATAGTGGCAGCGATGGAATGTGCCTTGATATTAATCAGATTGTCAATTCACTCTTAAAGTCAGCACAATTTTTTGTCAATCAAAAGTACCATTTTATATTACCATGTTTCGCTGTGATCCTGTATTTTTATTCCCAAATTGCTTGGTTCCAAATTCCGAAGTTGTTGCGTTACAACTTACATTGAAGGGGGGAAGAAGAAAACATTTCTTATCTATAGTACAATATCAAGTCTGAGATCTGGACTTGTCGTAACTTCAGCGATTCCAGATATTAGATCAGCAGTTTAAATCTAGTAAGATGACATATGGGAATTAAAAATATGAAATACAGTAACAAAGTCCGAGATCCACACTTGTCGGGACTTTAGCGATTCTGGATTTGGGATTTTTTCGGATATTAGATCATCAGTTTTAATTTAGTAAGATGGCTTGTAGAAATTATAAAATTAAAAATTTGAAATTGTGATTTATGAAATAATGAAGCATTTATGATCTAAAAGGTATCAAAATTTGCGAAAAAAAGCTTAATATTTATTTGCTTACTTTATGAAATATTTCTTTCAATGTAAGTTATTTAAGTTGCTTCGTTTTTTGTACTAATACCTTCTCTTTTTCTTCTATAGACAGATATAATTTCTTGTTGAGTCACAAAGTTCCATTGTTCAAGTCCTGTAATTGCTGTGTTGAGAATTCCGACTAGCTTGTAAATCAAAGTTTTTCGTTTTCATTCACCTCTCTGTCACCTTTTTCACTATCGGTAGCAGTATTTTCGGAATCTTTCGGAACCATACTACAGATTGCGCTGTTCATTGATTGATTGATGATTCGGGTATTGTCATCACAATGAAAAACTTCTATTATATCATCTTCATTTATTACCACTTCTCCACATTTCTTTATAAAATCCCTTAATCAGAAAATTTCACCTTTGGTCTGCGGTATCCTAAAACATTCAACTTCATGGCTATCATTTTCATCATCCTCACCTTGAAATATGGTAGCTGGCTATAAATTAAGCCAAGCATTTTTAAAAGTAACTGGAGACACATCTTCCCATGATCTAGCTGTGCTCCACACAGCAAATGTTACGCTAAAATATTTCAAAAATTCCTGATTAGTCTTGCCATTATTCAAGATATTTAACATAGACTTAAAAAATGCTACTTTATATTTGCATTTCAGCACACACACTATTCCAATATTAGTAGGCTGAATGGTGGACATACAGTATGGAAGAAAGAATAATACAGGTACATTATGTTTCACTAAAACTTCAAGTGAAGTATGAGCTGTACAGTTGACTACAATCTGGTCAGTTTTTGCATCATCAGGTAAACCAACCAAATTCAAATGTTGCCAGGCCTTGGGTCTGAAATGATTTTCAAACCAATCGTTCATTAACGCTTGTGTCATCCATCCTTTTTTACTTGCACAATATATAATGGGAAATTCTTTACTTCTTTAAATGCTTGACATTGCATATTCGATTACAAAACATTTACATTTGTGTAAACTTATTGTGATCTTGTAGCCTATGAGTATCATTAACAAAATCTATTTTTAACATACAGAAAGAAATTTTTGTTAAAATTTTTCTTTGTCAGCATTTCTTA